TCCGACGACAAATGATTAACTATCTGGGTATTGAAATGTATCCGACTGCAAGTCTTAAAGTCACTCTACTGTTGATCACTCCTACAAAGGCTGATCGTAATGTGTCTTGACATTCTTATCACAGCTGCCCGTCCACCTTATGCATCGTCTCTCTGCTGGGCGAATTCTGATTGGCGAGACTACTTATCGTTCTGATTGAATGAAATTGGGATTTTGTATCCGCTCCCCTCCCCACATCTCATAATATATCCCTCCCTCATTTCTTCTAGCTAGAGAAGATATCAAACTGAAGCTCACGTACAACGGACAAGCCTTTACGGGTGTTGTGCGAACTGTAGAGTGCAAGACATATCCCACCTTCAGTTCAGAGACTTTCAAAGTGCGCTGGGAGGTCATACAGAAGCATCCCCATTTCACAATAGAGGATAACAAGCTGGTGCCGGCCGCTAAAGTTGAAAAGATTGACAAAAACTATTATGGATCGTATGTCTGTGTTTTTGATCGGGACGAAATCTTTTTGACGCAGGTCTTCGTAGTTCTATCACTTGGTAAGTCACTTCGTTCTTCAACTACGATGCAGTACGTTGGTATATCTTAGCCAGTCAGAAACAAAATTTCGTCCGTTAACTTTCAGTCTCAACTTGCTACAAGCAGTGGTTGGGTATGACCATCATCCTAAAAGATATCTTTATGGGTAGATACACGCGACCTAAACACACACATACAAGCGACAGTCTGACCGCTGAGCTCGACGATATCCGTCGTGTGCTACACACCAGGACGCAACAGGCACGGTGACCTACCCGTGAATTGGTTTATAGTGATAGCAGACTTTCGCCGCAGGCTCTCGTTCCCCCTCCCCACATGGACCCGATGTCAGGACAAAGTCAATAAAAATCGGAGGCGGTGGGGCTCAGGTGGATGGCGCAGTCGGGCCCGCACCTTGACGTTTCATTCCACAATCCAGGTCCTCACAGCAAATGACCTGATTTTTTGACCAGCAATGACAACCCAATAGGGGTCAGAAGGACGAGGATAACAGGGCATCCATTCCCACCACCTGTATACCCAGCGCAAGCACAACTACCGGCAGGGAACCAGGTGTCAGGGAAATGCCAGCGCATTTCAGGCCACGATGACATGGTTTGCTGATAGTGGTGTAGCACAATCTTTCAGACCTTTTGACCCTGAAAGGCGATATGTGGTCCTGCATTTAGAATGGGCCGTCACACTTCAAGGTTAGATAATCAAACAGTTGCCGACTGATTAAGCGGCGGATGGACCGGCTACCACCTGCAGACACGTCAGGCGTCATTTACCGCGTCAAATGTCTGGACTGTCTAGCCAACTTCTTTCGCATGACCGACAAACGCCTAAGAACGCGCATGCATGAGCACGCTTTGGCCGTAAGGCGAAAGGACGTAAGATCGCATGTCGCGATGCGCTGTCTGGAAAATAATTACAAGTTCGACTTTGACGGCGCGCAAGTGCTCGGCCGAGCCGAAAGCAAACTGGCGAGGGAAGTAATCGAGTCCTGGAAATCATACACCAACTCGATCACTCGCAGTATGGATTTGCCAGCGCCATACGAAGCCGTCAGGCACCATCTACGAGCGAGAGGAGGGCCAATCAGAAGAGAACGGGACGAACCTATCGGATGCGAGCGCAGATGGCCTATTTAAACCATGTATTTCTCACTTAGTCTATCTCCGATGATGTGCTCGAGCATGAACACAAAACGTCAGATGAATAAACCGTCTTCCCCAGAGATCGCCTCATCTTCCTCTTCATATTAACACCTGTGGTCAGCATTTTTGGTTATATGCACATACATATATATATCAGGCAGGAGACGATAGGGTCTGGGGGGTAGATTAATACAGCACTGTTCGGGCTTGTTTGCCTTCATTCAGCCAATCATAACCCTGACCACCAGCTGGGACCGGAAACACACGCATGCTATCATTGCTTGACCGACCTCGGCCTGGTAGGTGGTTGCCCGTTCGTGACCCCTTATCGCCCATACGCAGCTTGTTTGCTTCGGGAAGCCAATGGATCGGTGTGCTCCCATTCGTGATTGAATAAATACCCGATCTGCAGCGACAGACAATACCAAGTGGCGAGGCACTAATGAACTTCGTTTCGATGAAGTGGTTATTAAACATCTGGTATACCCTAGTGGTGGACCAGCTGACCCAGGTGTGTCTGTGCGCATGTTTGTGTTTCTGGTCCCAGCTGCTGGTGCTCAGGGTTATGATTGGCTGAATGAAACCAAACAAGCCCGAAACAGTGCTGTGTCAATCTACCAATCAGACTCTGTCGTCTCACCTCTGCTATCATAGCTTGGCCGACTTCGACGTCATTTACCCCGTCAAATGTCTGGACTTTCTAGTAAACTACCGTGGCATGACCGACAAACGCCTAAGAACGCGCATCCATGAGCACACTTTGGCCTTACGGCGAAAGGACGTACGATCGCATGTCGCCATGCACAGTCTAGAAAATAATCACATGTTCGACATTGCCGATGCTCACCTTCTCGGCCGAGCCGAAATCAAGCTGGCGAGATAAGAAATCAAAGCCTAGAAATCAGACGCCAACTCGATCAACCGCAGTATTGACCTACGAGCGCCATACAAGGCCATCAGGCAGCATTTGCGCGCGATGGGAGGGCCAATAAGAGGAGAGCGGGATCGACCTATCAGGCGCGAGCGCGAATGGCCTATTTAAACAATGTATTTCTCACTTGGTCTGTTTCCGACGATGTGCTAGAGTACGAGTACAAAACGTCGGATGATTAAATCTTCCTCGCCAGGGATCGCCTAATTTTCTTCTTCCATCTCAAGAACTGGGGTCAGCATTTTCGCCTATATCCAAATACATGAATGCTATTACCGACAAAGACAAGGGAGACTGGAATGGCCATTTCTGGCTTATTGGCCGTCGTCAGTCAGTCACACCCGGCCCCGAACTGTAAAACACATGGGGCTCGAACTCGCGACCTGTTATTTAGAAGTTCACGCCTCAAACCACTGGGCCACGGGCCCGTTGTCGTTTCGGTTTCAATAGGGGATATACATTGGTAGGGGCGCTCACCGATCGTTCTTGCTGAGCTCACTCGTTCCGTTGTGCCTTACGGACTCTCTTTCGAGCCCAAGCAGCTACCGCACAGAGGCGCATGATATAGGCAGAATGGTATTACCGACAGAGAAAACAGAGACTGGAATGGCCATTTCTGGCTTATTAACTGTCTTCAGCCTGTCATGCCTAATCCCAAAGTGTGGTACACCTGGGGCTCGAACTTGGGACCTGCTAGGGGCGATTCCATGGACACCACTCATTTCCATCATCAGAGTGTTAGGGTGTTTGTTCCTGCTAGCCCAAAGTTGTTATGTCTCGCCAACTGTCTCGTGTTATACGCGCGCCTGATACACGGACTCTGGCCTGCTTGCTGGCCGGGGATTGGCTTTGGTCTCTCCCTGGCCGACCGCTGGGGTGCTCGTGTGCCTCTGTCCCTTGCCGGACCGCCGTTGTCGCCGTTAGGTCCATGTGCCCGTGGGCCCTCCCCCCATAACCTGACGGGCTGATCAGCTGCCGTTGCATGTGTGAAGCACATTCTGCTGTTTGGGCGCGTCGGGGGGTCGATGCCTCGCGTCGGTTGTTTGGCCTCCGGCTGGCTCTCTCCCACTGTTGTGAAGGCGACAACTGCTGAGAAAGTCGTGATTTGTTCGCCAGTGCTGTTGGTTCCGTCCGGACTGACTGGAGTCTCGTACGTAGCGCCTGGTAGGCCGGATAAGGATCAATGGCTCTGCTTATCGTGTCAACTGAGGACCAACCGACTCTGAACTGATGGAAGCGAACAGGCGAGTTCCAGGTAGCAGTTCAGAAGATGGAGATGCGATCACTGGAACAAGTAATTTATTGGCCTGACGTTTCGGATTCTCACTCGAACCCATCATTAGAGACATTCGCAGATAAGGGTAACGGTGGCACCATGAGTGCAATATTTGTAGCACGTGGCTGCCGTGGGACCATATGCGTACTGCAAATAACAGTTCACGTAATCACCGCTGGGGTCGTAATTGATGCGGTGGTGTCTTGTCAGTCCGAGTCCGAGTCGATAATGGCCGTGATTTCGTCATCCGTGCTGGATGCTGGTGTGACGATTGCTCAGCAAACTGGCTCACTGTCACCGTGATAATTGCTCACCCGCGCCCTCCCCACGTGACTGATTCTCCTGCCAAGGGAAAATCGCAATACGGAATAGGCCACCGGGAGGTCATTGTGTTTGTTGATGGATTGCGGGCCTGAGAACCATGACTCGAGCAGCTCGCGGCTCACGCGGTTGTCACCCCTTGCGAGGATTTTGGCCTCTTGAAATTTGAAAATATGGCCGCGTCCCGTCCAGTGTGCCGTCACTCGAGAGCTAGTGTCTCCCCGCCTCACTGCTGCTGCGTGGTCGGCAATTCGCGTCCGGAGTAATCTTCCAGCATCTCCGACGTGGTTGCTTTGTCGGCAACTGCACCAGATCCGGTAGACGACCCCTGACGTTTCCTGCCGTGGCAGTGGGTCTTTCGGCATCATGACTTGGCGCCTAATATTTTCTTCGGGCTTGTGTGCAGCCCCAACTCAAAGTGGAGTGAGAAGACGACTGACGGCTTCCGAGACGTTCTTCACGTATGAAAGAGCCCGCCAAAATTTGGGGACGGTTGGATTTGGTTTCTGGTGTCGTTTTTGTACGCACTGGTTGACAAAGCTGCACGGATAGCCATTGACTCTCAGTACCCGTCGAGATATTGTAATTCAACAACTTCTTCCTCCATTTCGCTGCAGTGCGCCTCAACGCGCGGTATAGCGTCCCTAAGCAACTGCGTTTGTTGCTGATCGGGTGGTTGCTGTTGAAGTTAGGTATTTGCTGTTGCTTTCCTGAAAACTTTGGTTTTTAGGCCACCAGAATCTTTGCGGCAAAAGAGGACATCCAGTATGACCAGCTGGATGTTTTATTCCTCCTCCATCGCAAACTGAATGCCCGGGAAGACGGCGTTGAGATGTTCTTTGAATGTCAGCACCTGATCCCGTTCGATGACGACGAAGGTGTCATCCGAATACCGAGCCCAGAATTTCGGTCTATGGTGTCGGAAATCCAGCAACTCCAACTGTTGTAGGACCGCCTCAGCTATGAGTCCCGAAATCGGCGAGCCCATTGGCGTTCCCTTCACCTGCTCGTAGATTGTTCCGTCGAGCGTAAAGTACGCCTTGAGACAGAACTTCAGGGGCAGTTCTCCGTTTCGTCGTATTTCTCTCGTAGGAGTAGTTCGGTGGTCTCGACTGCCAGGTCCTGCGGGATTGAAGTAAAATGGACGTGACATCACAGGAACCATAAAATCGCATAGCCGAAGACTTACTCCTTTAAGTTGCTCCAAGAATTGCGTTGACGAGCTGACTGTGGTGTTCTAATCGGAGGTCAGACACTTGAGACTTCGAAGCAGCCACTTTGCCAGTCCATAGGTTGGAGCGCCTTTTAGTGACCAAAGCCGAACACTGTCTCACCGATGTTTCCGGGAAGCTGTATGTTACCTACATGAACGGCAATGATCGATCAGTCCACCGGGTGACGTGGGGCAGTCCGACAGGCACGCTAACTTGACTAAAACTACGTCTACCCCAAAGGGAATAAAGGTCACGCAGGCATGTCAGCGGTCAGCACAGGAGCTCTAAGCCAGTCAGCGGCAAACAGGTAAGTCAGCGTTCGTGCATCGAACAGGACTATCATACGATGCAAGCGGCGAGACCGGCAGTAAGCGCATTAGTATGATGATGAAAAGGAGGAAGTTTCCGAAACGTCAGCTCAAATACAATCTGGTCCACGGAATAGCCCTCTATAATTTTTCGTCATCTTCGGGGAATGAGGAACGCGATACAATGTCTGGATCTCGAATATTCGTGCATATACATATATATAAATATGCAGAATGGTATTACCGAAAAGGACAATAGAGATTGCAATGGTCCCTTCCGATTTATTTGCCGTCGTCAGCCAGTCACATACAAACCCGAAGTGTGGAACACCAGAGGCTAGAACTTGCGACATGTTAGTTAGAAGTCCAGCGCATTTACCAATGACCATCCGGGTCAGAGAGTTCTGTAGAAACGATCGGTGAGCGTCCCTCTACCACTACATATGTGCTGGAAAACGGGAAGCCTAAGAAATGTAATACAACCAAAGTAAGAATTTTAGGAGGAGAACAATTTCTATTGCGTAAATGTTCGCATCTGCTTCCCCAGCCCGTAGTCAGAATTTCTGTACATAAATCTGACGACGAGCTGAGGAACCAGGATTGTAAATTTACGCAAAAAATTGACACCAAAAAATAGTACTTAAATATATATATATATATATATATATCTATGTATTATACCGTACTCTCGACATAGGTACATGCTAAAAGACCAGACACGAGTTTCAACGATATTCTGCCGCTGCGTGACACAGCTGTAATGGGGTTCGGGTCTTCAGTAAAACCCCGAGCGTGCTCTAGCGGTTTCTGGTATATGAACTCCAGAGAATATATATATATATATATATATATATATATATATATATATATATATATAGGCAGAATGGCATTACCGACAAAGACAAGGGAGAATGGAATGACAATTTCTGGCTTATTAGCCGTCCTCAGCCAGCCATACAAAAGCCTCGAACTCGCGACCTGTTGGTTTAGAAGTTCACGGCTCTATCCAGCGGGCCAAGAGCCCATTGCCCTGTCGGTTTTCGATCGGGAATATACAATGGTAGGGGGCTTTGTCTTCGTCGGCACCATCTCGTCTACGTCGACCACTAGTCGCTGTGCGACTGCCTGCGAGTGATCTAGTAAGACCCCCAAGGCAGAACGGAACGAGCATTTTCCGTAAACTGATCGGTGATCGCCCACTGTAATAATTAATATTCCCGAACACAACCGACAGGATAGCGGGACCATGGCTCAATGGT